CCTGGGAGTTTGAGCCTGCAGTGATCTGTGAAGATGCCACTGCACCCTAGTCTGGGTGACAGAGCAAGACCCTGTCTCAAAAAAAAAAAAAAAAAAACCCAGAAAGAAATACATTGATTTTTCTCATAGGTAGTAAGAGAAACATTCTTTTTGAACTCAGTCATTTGTGAATTGAATTTTATAATGCAAAGGCTATATTATGTAAACTATTGATGACTTTCAATCTGCATTTGTTTTATAGAATTGTTTAGTTAATGTTTGCAGCTTATATTAAAAAATAAAATTGAGGTTGGGCGTGGTGGCTCACACCTATAATCCCAGCACTTTGGGAGGCTGAGGTAGGTAGATTGCCTGAGCTCAGGAGTTTGAGATCAGCCTGGACAACATGATGAAACCCCATTTCTACTACAATACAAAAAATTAGCTGGGTGTGGTGGTGTGCACCTGTAGCCCAGCTGTTCGGGATGCTAAGGCATGAGAATTGCTTGAACCTGGGAGGCAGAGGTTTCAGTGAGCTGAGATCATGCCACTGCACTCCAGCCTGGCAACAGAGCAAGACTGTCTCCAGAAATAAAAATAAATAAATTGTATTAACGTCCTGATAGTTTATCTGTTCAGTACCTAGCAAGAAAGAAAATGTTGAACATCTTAATAAGAAGAGGGTCATTTAAAAGACCTCTTCAAGATCATGTTTGTTATAGTGCTGTAATCTGCAAAATGGAATAAAAAAATTAATCTGTTAAAATATATTTCACTAAATAGTTTAAGATGAGTCATATTTGTGGGTTTTCATTTTAAATTTTCTTTCTCTAGGTGAAGCTGTACTTCACAAAAACAGTAGAGGAGCCGTCAAATCCAGAGGCTAGCAGTTCAACTTCTGTAACACCAGATGTTAGTGACAATGAACCTGATCATTATAGATATTCTGACACCACTGACTCTGATCCAGAGAATGAACCTTTTGATGAAGATCAGCATACACAAATTACAAAAGTCTGAATTTTTTTTTATCAAGAGGGATAAAATACCATGAAAACAAACTTGAATAAACTGAAAATGGACCTTTTTTTTTTTAATGGCAATAGGACATTGTGTCAGATTACCAGTTATAGGAACAATTCTTTTCCTGACCAATCTTGTTTTACCCTATACATCCACAGGGTTTTGACACTTGTTGTCCAGTTGAAAAAAGGTTGTGTAGCTGTGTCATGTATATACCTTTTTGTGTCAAAAGGACATTTAAAATTCAATTAGGATTAATAAAGATGGCACTTTCCAATTTTATTCCAGTTTTATAAAAAGTGGAGACAGACTGATGTGTATACGTAGGAATTTTTTCCTTTTGTGTTCTGTCACCAACTGAAGTGGCTAAATACTGGTTCACATCCTACCCCTTTGCACTTGTGGCAACAGATAAGTTTGCAGTTGGCTAAGAGAAGTTTCCGAAGGGTTTTGCTACATTCTAATGCATGTATTCGGGTTAGGGGAATGGAGGGAATGCTCAGAAAGGAAATACATTTTATGCTGGACTCTGGACCATA